AAAAGGTGGTAATCAGAATACAGTTACTTTGTTGAAATAAATTGAATACACGGCGGCCATCTCCGGTTTAATGTGTTAGCTTAAGCCCTCTCTATGCCTTCTCCAATTGTGGTTTAGCTCAGTTGGATGAGCATACGGTCATATATCACATGCCTGAGAGTAGCAAGCCCGGGTTCGAGTATGACCCGTGGCCCTTTTTTTTTAAATGGGTCAGTTACACAATGGACCCAGAGCCAGCAGTGCACGGGCAGACCCGCAGCCCGCACAGCCGGTCCAGCTGCTGGGCCAGATGCTTGCGGAGATCATGGCGATGCATAAAGATGCAGAGAGCAGAGATTGACAAACTTCAGTACCCAGCCAAGAGCCAGACCCAGGCATTGGAGAGGATGGATGGGGCAACTGTGCACCCCCTCTCTAAGGGGTGCCTAAAAGGTAGTACTGAAAGCTATCTATATCTGAGGCCTTAGAAGCTTCTATCCCTCTGGTATACCATAGAGACAATAAACCAGATGTTCTCCACTGAACCATCCAAGGTAGGGGAACAGTATGAGAACAGCCCCACTATGGCTGGAGACAGAGCAATACTTTAAGAGCATCTGGGATGAGGACGCAACCCAACATGAACGAGAAACCAATTCACTGGTACACACCACAAGGAGGTACAGTAACCACATCAGAATGTCATTCGGACTACAGATGTGTAGTCAGATGGTAACAGAGAGAAGGAAGGTAGCCAGAACTGAGGGGATTGCACTACCAGGAATTTACACTACAGACATCGAGGGCAGCTGCAAGTGCCTGGGAATAGGAAAATGAAGACCATGAAGAGGCCACAAGGAAAGTCACACCCACCAAAATCCTGCAGAGAATAATGCAACTTCTGAGGAGTGACCCGTAGGGGAAGAACACGACCCAGGCAATCAACACCTACGCCGGGGGTGGGCAACTCCAGGCCTCGAGGGCCGGTGTCCCTGCAGGTTTTATATGTGTCCTTGAACCAACACACCTGATTTAAATGGCTAAATTAGCTCCTCAACATGTCTTGAAGTTCTCCAGAGGCCTGGTAACGAACTAATCATGTGATTCAGGTGTGCTGACCCAAGGTAAGATCTAAAACCTGCAGGACACCGGCCCTCGAGGCCTGGAATTGCCCACCCCTGACCTACGCCCTGCTGGTACCCTGCTGGGATAGTCAGCTATCCAAGCTGGCCAGCCACTGACATCAAGGCAAAAAAGATTTTCCCCATACATGGAGGGTTTCATCAAAAGTCCCCTGAGACTGTATGGTAAGCGTAAAAAAGATGGCCAAGGACTAGTGAGTGTCAAAACCACTATGCAGGATGAAACAACAAAGATCCATAAGTACAACAGAAAGATGGCCACAATTGATAGTATGCTTGGTGAATATCTCAGACAGGAGAAACCCAAGAAAAAAGAGGAGCAAGAAGACGAACCATCATGGAAGGACAGGCCCCTGCACGGCATGTACCCCAGCAGAGAGAAGAAGTGGCTAATATCGAGAAATCCTACCAATGGCTGGATAAAGCTGGACTGAAAGACAACACAGAGGCACTAACTATGACAGCGCAGGAACAAGATCCATAGAGGCTGGGGTGTTAAACAGCAGGCAGGACCCCAGGAGCAGGCTGTGCAAAGATACCCCAGAGACAATTCATTCACACAGAACTATAGGGTCTAAGATGCTAACAGGCAGGGCATACAGGGAACACCAAAACCAAGTGGCTGGTATAGTATGCAGAAACATCTGTGTCAAATATGGCCTGGAAGTCCCGAAGTTTAAATTAGTTCTACCCCTTGGGTTGTTGAGAATGACCAAGGCAAGATCCTGTGGGACTTCCAGATACAGAGGGACAAACTGGTGAGGGCTAACCAGTTGGACATAGTGGTGGACAAGCAGAGGAAGACAGGATAACAACATCAGGAAGAAGGAACGTGAAAAGTTCAAGAAGTACCAAGGTCTGAGAAAGGAGCTTGAGAGATGTGGAGGGTGATGGCAAAAAATGGTCTGATCTGAGCACTCGGGGCAGTGACCCTCAAACTAGGCTATTGACTCCAGCAGATCCCAGAAACGTCATCCAAGGAATCTGTCCAGAAGAGCGCAGTCCTGGGAACGATACAGCGCAGGACCCTCAAGGCCCGAGTCCTCTGGTTGACTTGGGTCTGGTGGATCTGAGCTTGAAGGATAAAGACCGTCCACATCGCGAACTGGGATATATTTATATATACAGCAGTATGTCCTCACAAAGAACTCAGCTGGCTGGTGTTTCCGTGACACTGAAACATCAATCTGACGTGAGCGCTTACATAATTGTTATCAGTGTTATGGTGTCTCTTGTTTCCACAGAGGATGGAACTGGTGTGAATGAAGGCCCAACATTTCTCTCCTCTTCAGACTTTGTGGGAATCTCCTCTATTCTTAGTCCTGTTGTCTAAATATTTACCCAGTAGCGTTTATTCCTGCTCCACTGACCCGAGAAGCTGCAGATACTTTGTTGTAAATTGCCTGTAGCTAATGTCTCTCTGATCTGTTGGTACGGGAGATCTGCACACTGTCGCCTGCCAGCTAGGACCAAGTAACTCAATCTTTGAGGCTTGTCGCCCACACCTGTCATGTTGAACTTCTACTGCTCCACAGCTGTCACACTCTGGGCAAACTATGACCTACATGATGGGGCAGGTGAGCTAACACAACTGAGCTGCTGGCTGAACAGGTTTGACTGTGATGGTGATGTTTAATCATATTATATTGATTTTTTCTTGTTCCCTCAGTGGCTTTAAACCTGAGGTTCCATATTATGCAGACCAAAGCATACATTTTAAATAGAATAACAAAAATCAACTTCATTAGTTTCAAATACCTCTCCACCCTTATCATGGTGTGATGGGGGTGTCCTTGCTCAAGTAATCCCAAGATCAGTATTGCTGGTGACAAATGCCCCTGGCAGGGTCTCTGAAAGCAAAGTGTCGGCAATCTGAAAAAGGAGACATAGCCCCCTCATAGAGCCATGCCTGGTAAAGACGCTAACTGGCCCGCCCCCAGCAAAGAGAAAAGACATTCAGAGTTCCTCAGCGTGACAGAAAACTGATGTTCAAGTACAGATGTAATCAGTTTGATATTCTAATACAAGGGAAAGAAGTCCAATTTCAAAAATACATCTCTTTTTTTCTATAAAGAAATGCTGATTTGATTTGGGCTTAAATTCTAAGAAATAAATGTGTAAAATTACAGAAACAGTTCTATTAGCACATTACGCAGACCGCCCCGTAATCCAAAATCAGACATTTTTTAACTGGCAGAATATGTATTTTGTTTTGCTTTTTGTTACCGTGAAAATTATCCGTTTTTATGGTACATAGTGAAAAAACACAATTTTTCTGATATTTTATTGTTTATCTATTACTTATTTATTTTGGCGTAGTATGAAATGCCATGGGGGAGGTCCACCAGGCCTAAAAGAAACAGGTGCTGTCTTACACCAGACTCTTTGCTCTAACAACTCAGATGCTGTTTCAATTAAGGATTACAACTTATTGTAGAGAAGATAAAAAGCTAGAGAACCCACGCAAACACGGCGGCAACATGCTCCAGAAGAGATGCTCGAGATGGGCAACGTTTCCCCACATTTCAAATGAATGCGGTTCCTTTTTACCACTAAACATTCTAGTTTGTGAATCACTTCTATATGCTAAGCACCAGAGTTATAAGCATATGCATTTCTAAAAAACTAAATATATGCAAAAACAAAAAAATATTTGCTGATAAAACAAGATGGTTGCATGTGCATTCAGGTAGGCACCACTTTTTTCTTTTTTCTTTTTTAAAACTACCCTCTCCACGTCATCCCTGTTACAGCTTCTTTATCTCCCGAACTGAGCTGTGTTTCCTGTAAGAAAAACAGATCAACGTTCAAGCTCTGCTAACGCTCCTTTTCTTATCTCTCCTTTAAACGTAACTGTTCTCTCCATGTGGCTCACCGAGAGAAAGAAGACAGAGAGGACAGCGCCAAGAAGAAAAGACCACCTTCAGTGCCAGCTGCTATTGTTTTAGAGGAGCTCATAAGTTTCTTTTTCAGGCAAAACCTTTTAAGATGAGCCAGTTTTTCATAATGAACCTGTTTCCTTTTTTTTTTAAATTAAAGAACCTGTTTATATTCTGGGAGAATAAAAAACATAGCCTGGCAGCCAAAAGTTTCATATAAAATAACTCATTTCTTACAGATAATACAGCTGCCAATCATCCCGTTACAGGGACTCCTCCTCAGCATCTCTTCATCGTAACAGTAACAGTGTTCAAACAGCCCGCTGGTGCTCGTTTTCAGTTTTGACTCTCTTTTTCCTGTATGGTTTGATAATACTGTGCACTGGCTTGCTGCTGTACCAGTACCAGACCGATAGTCCCCACCAGTTTGGATGAAAGTTTACTTACAGGAAACAGCAAGCTGTCTTTCCAACAACTCATTAAAAATAAAAGCTGGAACACCTGCAGCCTTTTTAATTCACGAGCCATGTGTAATGCATTTACAACTGAGTGATTCTTCCACAGAAGGTAATCGTATGCTTGGTCTCCCTGCATGCAGCGCAGCACAGAAGGAAGAGGAGACCCTTACTTTTTTTTTGGAGCGCTCAGACTTCTTGGACATGTTCTTCATTTTTTTATGGAGATGGAATAAAATCTGGAGAGAAAAAGTAGAGCAGACAGATTCATTTTGAAGGAAATACTTCTTAATGATTTATCAAAAACGGATCAACTGGTCTGTAAACAGCAAATGCATCAACATGGTCAACTTGTACTCATATCAGCAGCTGAAGGTTAAAGTTACACAGTTAGATGCCAGCTGGAGGAAGTCACAGGCCACACCAGAGGACTTTTATTGTGACAGTCGGCTGTTACATAAACACAAACTGACTCTGTGCTACTTCAGCTTGACACTTTTATCTGATAAGTGACTTTAACCGTGAAAAAAAATCCAAATAAATGAACCTGGAATTTATTGTGAATTTATTTATTAATTAGTTCCCTGGTAACCGAATTACAGCCCGTATTAATCCACACTGGCATCTTTCAGGAAGCAACAGAAATGTTCATTTTAAATCTGTTTAATCTAATCAATGTGTAGTTCAAGTCAACAATCTGTAGGTATTAAAAGCACTTCGCCAATAAAATAAATACATTTTCCACATTCCAGTGGCAAGCTGGGATTGGTTCCAGCCCCCCTGTGAACCTGAAGGGGATAAGCTGATGGAAGGACGGACTTATACTCATTTAATACTTATTATTTTGTAAGTTTTGTTTGTTTATTAAATAAGTGAGAGCAAATGGTTAACCCATCAGAACTGAATTTATATGTAAAATTAATATTTTTGTATTATTTGTTTATTAAACAGTGCAAACGTGTTCAGAGGTTTTTCTTTGGCTGGATTCCAGACTTTTATTAGCAGAAAATGTGATTAATTGCGTTTTAAAGCAATTAATGAATGAATCAGAAAACATTTTACACATAAACTGATAATAACTGCTACAGGTATCGCTGAACGGTTATTTATGACTGACTTATAACAGATCAGCTTTGACGCTCACAGATCTCTGACAGTCTGATCATAAATTTAAATGCAGAGGATGGATATTAAACCGGTTATCAGGGGTCTAGGATGCTGATGTTTTTACTGCCTGGTTTAAAGAAAATGAACCATATTTGATGTTAAGTTTTATTTAAATAAAACAGTTGGGGAAACGAATATTTAACCTCTGGGAAATGTCTCGATAATCATTACGATGAAGCAAAAGCTTCTTACCTGCGTCTGGTGCGTTTATTCTGAAACTTCAGCTGGGTATTTTGTATGATGTTATCATAGTTTGGTCATATCGGTTTATCACATGTGACCCACATTAAGCTGACCTATTGAATTGGTTTTATTCTGAAGCGCCACACCGGTGCTGGTGAGTGCGCGCCTCACGCGCGTTTTTACGCACAGCTTTTATGATCTGCAGGACTTTGTGCACGGCCTTTGGACCTTCTGCTCTATTTTTAATGCCTGTTTTACTGCAGCTGGGAGTCACACATTACCCCGTTAAATGCCTCCTATTTTGAACTGACCTTAGTGTAACAGCAGCTGATGAGGAGCAGCGGTAGCAGGTACCCCAACACCAGGAGGGTCACTTTGTAGGCGTTTTTGGAGGCTCCGGCCCAGTCCTCCCAGCAGAAAGTTCCGTTGTGGTAGCTAATGAGGCCCTGGTGCTTGGCCACCGGCACCGAGCACACCAGAGACATCGTCCAGATGACGCACAGCCCTGCCAGTGCGTTCCTTGGGCTCCGGACGCTCAGAGATTGGTTGGAGCGCACCACGGCAATGTAGCGGTCCACGGACATGGCCACGAGCGTGAAGATGCTCACAAGCATGTTGACGGTGAAGATGTAGTGTACAAACGTACAGAGGAAGGCCCCGAACACCCACTCCGGCAGAGTGTAAATGGTGGCTTGGAAGGGCACGCAGAAGAGCAGGAAGCCGAGGTCCGCCACGCTCAGGTTCAGGATGAAGATGTTGGTCGGGCTAAGCGAGCGCCTCCCAACTCCTCCTCCACTTCCACCGCCGCCTCCCCCACCTGCGCTGTACCCCACCTTCCCTATCACTACTAGCACTAAAATGTTCCCCACCACCCCCAACACGAAAATGATCCCGAACACCACCGGCACAATCACCGACTCCGGTGTGTGTCCGTCGTCCACTGACCGATTGAACTCGGGGAGGTCAGGCACGGAGCAGGAGTCGTTTACCGGGAGCGCCATAGTGGGGCAGCTGGAGGGTTAGAGGTGCAGAGAGGGACAGGCTGACAGAAAGACCAGCTCCATGATCCCGATCAAACACCTCCAGCAGCGGAGTCAGCTCTGAGACTCTGAGGACTCCTGGAAACACTGCAAGTTTAGGGAAACGTTGAAGGCTGTTTCCTGTCCGGGGACTTCAAAGTAAAGCCATGTTATTCAAAAGGTAGTCCTCTATTTCTTACTTTTATTCGTGCTAATAAAGAACCTAGATGTTCAGCAGTGAACAAAGCATCTTCATTTCATCTTGAGAAAGAACAAAACAAAACGTCACTGAGAACCAGAGCACATAAAACAGTTTTAGAGTGAAGGCACAAAAAGCAGGTGAAATTTTACATCTTAAAGATGCCAACAGATTCCTTTAAAAGCTCAGGAGATATTTAGTTAATTGAAATTATTTATAAAACAAAAAGTTCACTTTTTAGGGAGTAATGCAAATAAAAAAATAAAAAAGCTCCAATGCAGTGTGTGTGCAAACATTTTATGAAACTCAAACAACACTTTTTAAAACAAAAACTATGGACCTGTTATTATTTACATCAGATGCATATTTTTAAAGATTTGTGTCCCAGAGATAATGTCACTTTTTAACATGTTGTGATATAGAGACTAAAGAGCATGGCATTTGTTGTTGTCACTGTATATTCTTGTATTATAGGTTTCTGGTCACTTTATATAGTTAAACGCTATGAGTGTGGAGTGTAAGAGTTCGACCTTTTGCAAAAATGAGCAGGAATGAAGCTGAACTACTAAGAGTTGGTTTGATATTTTGTGCTTTTTCCTCATTATGTTTTGTCCATTTTTGTATCAACTCATGTTTATACAATATAGATTCTGTTTATGTTCTTTGATAGGTTTAAAGTGCTTTTTTATTTATTCGTATCTGTTTTTCTCTCCTAATAACTAACAGAATATCAGTGACCTGGGTTTCGTGATGTTTCTCCTCCTCAAAACTTTCTGTGTCGCTCCCAGCTGTCTTGACCAACGAGGCTTTTATTTTGTTGAGCAATTTGTTTGCCATTTCCCGTTCAGAAGTTTCGAGGCGTGTCTCAAGTTCGATTGATTTCGATGGCACTTCGTACACGCTGAGCTTTTACTGTCTGCTACGAGTCATCACAGCGTTTCATTCACGTCAATATTTAGTTTAAAAAACGAAGATAAAGTTTCTGTGAGTCTAAAATCGGAGTATATCTGATCACTTTGCTTTTAAACTTTTAAACTCGGTTACACTAAAATCCTCTCGTGCTGATAAGTCTAACTGTGGATCATTGCACGCACAGATTATGTTTTATCTGGTGAGATAACATTATCACTCATTACATCACACATTTTCTACGAGTGCTTCTCAACCTGCAGTCTTTACTGAACCAAGAAGCCAGAGAAAAAGTACTGTTCTGCTTCAGAGCAACACACCTGTGCTCAGGATGGAGAACTAAGTAGGAGCCGTGGCCTGTTAATAATCCATATTTTAAACCAACCACTTTATTAAGAACACATACGCAGTCTAATGAAACCCAAAACAACAGCACAGATTCCAGTTTTGTTCTTTTATGCTCATTAAAGTTGCAGTAGGAGGTGGTTCACTGCATATTGAAAAGTGTTCCTAATATTTTTTCCTAGTATAATAAACGTGTAACCCAGGTTAAAACCTGTTGATGAATCAACATATCACTTCCTCTCGCATTGCCTCATTACTTTTGGACCTGTTTGGTTTCTGCTACCTGGTGCTCTGAATGGGTCAGTTACCATTTTATATTTACCAGCCTGGCTAGTGCTGTTCATGTTAAATGAACACAGATATTGTTGTGTAATTAAGGTTTTTTTTATGCTTTCATACTTATACTTTTATACAGCTTATAAGATTATATTTGGACAAAACTTTACTTAATTTAATGTTGTGCAACATCAGTCAGTCACTGTTACTTGGGACTGAGCTGGTCAAGCATGAGGAAAGTCATGTAGTTTAAAAAAAAATTTTTTTTACAGAAAATGTAAAATAATTAAACAAAAAAAGTCAGAATTTTGGTTTTGGTGGAGCTTTTAAAGGAGATAAACAAAACAAAACTTACGTTGTAGTGCTAACATATAACTGAGTAATAAACTAACTGCTCAGATAAACTCACCTAACATCCAAGAGAAGAATGGGAGCTTGAATACGTGTTGATCAGATAAACTTGAGCACGTATTGGTGACACGCACTAATACATGACCTGATAACAAAAAACGAAATAAAATAACTTACTTTTCAATTATTACTTTCACTTAATGGTTATCAAACCCAAAATATCTAAATAACTAAGTCAAATGATATGAACAACATATTTAAAGTAACTAGTTTCATCATCTCTTCCACCCATGATATCGCAAAAATTGGTACAATCCATTCATAACTTCATGTATTTAACAGCCAGTACCGATCTGCTCCTTTCACTCCCTCAGCAGCTGTACCCCCCAGTGCAAAGAAAACAAGAGAAAGAAGTTAAGACAAAATAAGAAAGTAGTTCAGCAGACCAGGACCTTTAATTAAAAGTGTGCACTCTAAATATAACTAAGTGTTTTCATAGGTTACGAATTATGGTTAAGGATAGGCCTGCCCAGTAAAGTCACTGTGGGCTTCAGCTGAATTCTGTGCTTCAACTATAACTTACATTAATTCTTACAATTTCATAATGAAAACCTTCGACACACATACCCCAGATTAGTTCTTGCAGTGCAAGCTTAGATTAATTATTCGGTTCAGAGTAGTTTAGCATATCTTTGGCTATCGCAGTGAGCAGCATGACTCAGGAGGACATTGAACGGGTGGACCTGTGCAGGTCCCACTTTGGGAAGTACCCCTCATGTTTCTTTGACACTAAAAAGAGCTCATTCATAATTTGTTCAGCTAGTTTTAAAGAATAATGCTACTAAAATTGCTAATACAAATATTCTGCAGTCATAATCAACTGTTCTAATGTGTGGTGAAAATGTTTCTCCTGTTTGTTGTGACTTTGCAGCAACTGCTAAATAAATTTGAATCTGTAACATGAAATCAAAAATCACGTGTCATTTGTGTGCAGTGGAAAATTGGTTTTATTTAAATGAGCCTATCACTTATGAACTGGGCTTTAAAATTCAGCAAATCCCACTTCCTGGAGTCACTGTTCCACTAATTAAAACTGAAAATGTGGAAGCTTTGAGAAGTTGCTGCAGAGCTGTAATGCTTTCCTGATAAAGTTGACGCATGTCACAGGTGACAGACCGGGGAGAGGCAGCGCTAGCATAACAGATTAATTTAAGCAGCAGCTCACCCAGCTGAGCCTGAAAGCGCCACCATGATTAATATTATTATTGTTCATGTAATTAAAAAGGACCAGTGTGTACACACACACACACACACACACACACACACACACACACA